TTCTTGGATTCAGTTTGCCAGTATTTATTTATTTATATTGCCAGTATTTTATTGAGTATTTTTGCATCAATGTTCATGAGTGAGATTGGGCTGTAATTCTCTTACTTAGCAATGTCTTTGTGTGGTTTGGGTATCAAGGTAACTGTAACCTCATAAATAGAGATTGGCAATTTTTCTTTTGTTTCTCTTGTGTAGAACAATTTGAGGAGTATTGGTATTAGTTCCTTGAAAACCTTGTAGAATTCTGAGCTGAAACCATCTGGTCCTGGGCTTTTTTTGGTTGGGAAACTTTTGATGACTGTTTCTATTTCTTAAGAAGTTATACGTCTATTTAATTTGCTTATCTGGTCTTTATTTAACTTTGGTAAGTGAAATTTATCCAGAAAATTGTCCATTTCCTTTAAGTTTTCCAATTTTGTGGAGTACAGGTTTTTGAAATATGACCTGATTATTATCTGAATTTCCTCCATATATGTTGTTATATCCCCCTTTTCATTTCTGATTTTGTTAATTTGAATATTCTCTCTCAGCCTTTGGTTAGTTTGGATAAAGATTTGTGTATTTTGTTGATTTTCTCAAAATATCAACTCTTTTCTCATTGATTCTATGTATTGTTTTCTTTGTTTCTATTGTGTTGATTTCAGCTCTCAATTTAATCATTTTCTGCCATCTTACTCCTCTTGGGTGAGTTTGCTTCATTTTGCTCTAGAGTTTTCAGGTGTTCTGTTAACTCACTAGTGTGGGACTTTTACGACTTCTTTATGTAGACATTTAGTGCTATGAACTTTCCTCTTAACACTGCTTTCATTGTGTCCCATAAATTTGGGTATATTGTCTGGTCATTTTTGTTGACTTTTAGGAAGTCTGTAATTTCTTCCTTGACCTATTGGTGATTCAGGGGAGCATTGTTTAATTTCTGTGTGTTTGTCGGCTTTCGGGAATTAGTGTTGCTGTTGATTCTAATTTTAAGTCATGGTGATCTGATAAAATTGATGGGGTTATTTCAATTTTTTTGTATCTGTTTAGGTTTGCTTTGTAAATGTCTTATGATTGTTAAAGGAAGCCAAAAGTACATTCTATTTGTTCTGTTCTTCATATGAATATATATATATATTTAAAATAAGTCATTTTGTATAATTTAAATAAAAGTATATTTAAAACAATAGAAATAAAATGTATGTTTAAAATAATATTAAAATATTTATTGAAAATTTATATAAATAAATATATAAATATGTATTTAGCTTTAGTTATGCCCTCTATATGTATTCTTGTATGTTGTTTCCTTTTTTAAAATCCCTTTGGCATTTCATGCCATATTCTGAATAACATTTAATAACTCATTTCCTGGTTCATTAATTTTTTCTTCAGCTAAGTCTGTTTGATGAATTCTTTATTTTGGTTACTGTTTATACCTTTGTATGTTTCCCAGGAGTTATTACATTTCTCTTTCTTTCCCCACTTTGTGTGTGTGTGTGTGTGTGTGTAATATATGCATAGGTATGTGGGGGTGACAAGGGTGCATACACTCATCCTTGGGCATACAGAAGCCAGAGGAAGACATCAGATTTCAGCCTCTTTTGTTTCACATTTATTATTATTATTATTATTGAGACAGGGTCTCTCATTGAACCCAGTGTTCTCTTCCAGGTAGGTTGGATGGCAGGTGAACTCCTGGGATCCATTTTTCTCTACACACACACACACACCCTCACACACACAATGCTTGTGGTACAGGCACTCACCCTTATGATCAACTTTTATGTGGGTGCCAGGATTTGAACTCAGTTCCTCTTGCCTTCACAGCAAGCATCTTACCCATTGAGGCCATCTTCCTAGCCTTCTTTTATTTCTTTAAACATAATAGCACGTAAAACATCACTATACAATAAACTATTTCCTAAGGGCTTGCTTCTTTGATCTTTGACATATATTCAATACCCTTAACTTGCTTTGTACCAAACCAAAGTGTTGTATTCTTTTAGTCCCTTTTAACCTGGCACTGTTCGCTCATTTTACTTTTTTAGTTTTGCCTTGCTTTGTGTTTTCTGTCTTATATGTATTTCAGACTTTTGAGGAATTTCCCCACAAAATAAATGCCGTTGATGTTTCCTTTAATTAAATGTAGCTTTTGCCATGTTTTAAAGGACACAAGGAAAGCAACATGGTGACCTCAGTGTAGCGCACTGAGTGTGAGGTGTTGATTAGGCCAGCTGCTGTTGACTTAAGCTTCATTGATTGGTTAAAGTAGGACCTGACAAGTTTTTTTTTCTTACTTCACATTTACTATATTTATCTTAGTGATTAATATGTGTCAGCCTGGTGATTTAATATGTGTGATTATTCTGGTTCTCATTGCTGTTTGACCTCCTGGGCTCCGCATCTGTTGACAGTTCTCAACTCTAATGATTATTCCCATGTTTGCCAAATGCTGGATGTCTGTTTCAATCATTTTTTACATAGATTGCTTGGAATTCTATGCTGAGAAGCACTCTGAATTTTCTCCCATGTGTTTACCTAGTCAATGATTTATATCACTACAGACTTGTGCCTGCTTGCTTTACCGCATGAGTAATAATTACTCTGTTTCTCTGGCTTTTCCTATTGTCCCAGATTTTTATCAACTTTCAAAGTGTTGATTATTTTTAAATTATGTTTATTTGTGTATGTTTGGTGTATTGGAAGTGGGGCGAGTGC